CTTACAACCAAACCAATCCTCTAAGCACAATCCTTACTTCCTGCCCCACTCCTATCAGCCCATCTCTGTCCAATCCACATTAGCTCTTTCTACCTCCACTACCACCTCAGGCAAACCTATACTCATTTCTAGACCTAAAATATCATTAAATACACAAAACAAAGCTATGGTGCTATAACTAAGCTACTCTGCTCAACAGCACACATATACCACCAGTTATTTCTTCTTCATGGCAGAGAGATCATGGAAATAAGAGGAGGAGAACTAAATGGCTTTAAGGATAAAGAACACCAGAAATCATACTGCCCTAAAGCCATTTTTAAACATTTTTTCTCTTCTCTTTCCCTCTCCAAATTTTCCAACATACATATTTTTTTAAAGCACAAAAAAGCTTACTGCTGTTTCCTTTAAAAGGCCTTTAAAAGATGACCCATATCAAAGGAATGTTGAGCTTTCAAAGTTGTTAAAGTTATAGGCTTTGTAAATTTTTGCCTTTCTGTCACAATCACCTGAACAAACAATACTTTTATGGAGTTCTTCTATAACTCACTTAGGTAATTTTTCCCCTTAAGAACTTAATATACACAATTTATTCTTCAATAAAAATAAGTACCATAAATTAAATCATTATATGATCCCTAAATGATTTCACATATCACCTAACAGAAAATTAAATTTTAATTTACTTATATTATTCTTTCAAGAATCTTTAAGATGTTGTCCACCCACGTCTCATCTCTCAGCCCTTTAGGCACACACTAAGGAACATGAAACAAGGAAGAATATTCCTAAGTATAATTAATTTAGGAATTGTAAACTTTAAAAAATAATTGACTAAATACCATATAAAATTTAATTGCATCATATATTCTTAATATATTTCCTTAACATATCATACAGAGAAGACTAACAAAATCAGAAATCTTAGAATCTCACGGATGAAAATTAAAGAGCATTTGGTTCAACCATGAAGCAAATTCATGTTTCATTGCCCTATTTTAAATTTTTACCAGCTACACACACACACACACACACACACACACACACACACACTCTTCTGGTTTCACAAACTAAGGAAATGAAAACAGAAATTTTCTTTTAAGCTAACTTTTAAATTTAAATAGGTAGAGTCTCAAATGCAATATTAGGATAGCTAGTGTTAAAAACCCTGGTGTGAGGTTTCTGTTTTGATTTATTCTGAGAAATCTCTTGGGAATGCTTCAGTACACAGTTAGTAGAAACCTAGCTGATTAGGTATTAGACAGCAGGGTATTAGGTGACCTATGTGACTGAACACAATTCTCTTGTCTGAGTCTCTCTTTCCACATTTGCAATGTGGAGGTAACTCTACCTGCTCTGTGTAGTTCCTAGAAATGGTGAAAGATAGAAAAATATTTTAACATATTTTGAAAAACAACAAAATGCCATAAATTCAATGAACTTTTTGTTATATACATTCATATTTAAATTGCCCCACATAGTAATCTTAATCAGCTACAGGTAAACTCTGCATCTAAATGTCATTTCTCACTGTCAGTAAAAGGATCACTGTAGTAGGTGGGATAATGGCCTCTCCCCAAAGACGCCCATGCCCTCATGATCTCTTGGCTAGTCATCAGAACCTATAAACATGTTGCCTTACATTGAAAAGGGGAATTTGCAGATATCACTTAGTTAAGGATCTTGAGATAGAAAGAATAATACTGGATTATCCAGGTGGTTCTGAAGTAATTACAAATGTTCTTAAAAGAGGGAGGCAGGAGTGTCACAGTAGGAGAAGTAGATGTGACAATGGGGAAAGGGGGGACAGAGAGAGAGAGAGAGATTGGAAGATGGATGCTATGCTGCTGGCTTTGAAGATGGAGGATGGGGCCATGAGCCAAGGAATGCAGGAGGACTCTGGAAGCTAGAAAAAGCAAGGAAATGAATTCTCCCCTAGAGTGTCCAGAAGGAACACAACACTGAGACACCTTCATTTTAAGCTTGTGACCTCCAAAACTGTAAGGTAACAAATCCTGTGTGGTTTTAAGCCACTAAATTTTTGGTAAATAGGAAACTAATACAATCATGAAAACATAGCCACCTACTATCCCACTACTGAAAACCAGGGTTTTTTCTTGTTAAAGACCACCATGAGTTGTACATAGTAGCTTTGACCACTTCTGAATCTGTTGCCCAATGTCATCTCATCCAGACTGGTGAGTCATTCAACTCCCCTCCACTGGCAAGGAAAACTGAGCACCAGCTGTTTAAGAAGGACCAGCTGACAACGTGGAGATCATCTAGTCCTGTCTTTTTCCCAGTGTAGGTTTTTGAATTGTTCTAGAACTAAGATGTTTTTCTTTAAAATTTCCTGCGGGGAAAAAAAGTTTTCTGCTTCCACTAGTAGAAATGCTTCTCATTTCAAAACACTTAGAATTAACAGGTTGTCTAAGAGATAGAATTCTTTCAGCTATAATTTTTTCTTATTCTGTCATTAGTAGACCTGGAAATTAAGAAATAAGACAACTAAGAAATTAAGAAATAAGGTACTTATAATTCCCTTTTCAGGTTTCTTTTTTCTTAAATAACTACATTTCCCCCATCTTTAATATTTTCTTAGGGGTTTATATAAAACTTTACCTTTTTTGGCTGCTATATTCTGTCATATTCTGTCTGCCTCTGTCTTAAAATGTGGAGCTAAAAACCTGCTGGGCAAAGTATACTGACTTTTCTTAATAGCTGTACACAAAATTTGTAAAAGTGAGTTGTGAAGTAAAAAATAAGATTAGGCAGAGAGGAAGAAGTTCTAATTTAAGCCCTGGTTCTGGCCCTTGCTGTGTGATCTCAGGCAAATCACATAATCTCTCTGAGACTCAGTGACATCTATAAGACAAGGAGTTTGCACTAAATATCCAGATAAAAACTAAAGGATCATAAAAGAGAGGCAGGAAGTCTTCTGGTAATTCTATTGAGAAAGTAATTGCCACTTGCCAGAACGATGAATAAGTACTAACCATTAGCTCCTCCACAAAGATAACAGTGGGGGCATTGAGGCTTGTTTGGATTTTAGCAATCTATGATTACAGATGTAGCAACATTCAGGACAGGAAAAGCCTGGGATACATTATAGGCACACTGAGTAACACAGATTTTTGGAGGTAATAGATGAAGAAGGGCAGGGAAAAAAAGGGAAGGGGATAAATGGAAAGCCTGGAACATCAAGGCAGTGCAGAGCCCCTGAAGGTTTCTGAAAGGCCCTCATGAGCTCTTGTTTAGATTATCACAGGAGTCCACTAGTGAACTGTACCCCTTGGTGGCCTCTGGCAAGCTAGGTGATTCATCTCCATATCCCCAGTGGCCAAGCACAATAACCTGCACTTAATAGTTGATTAAAATATGTGTTGGGTGACTAAATGGATGACCCCAACCAGCCTTTGTCATCTTAACTTTTCGCAGAGGGCTTGTCCTGGGGATGCCATTCACATCATCTCTATTACCCCCTGGAGTTGTGAAAACACCAGTCCCACCTTCCTTCAAGGAGGTGTCAGGGGACTGGACTACTGGAGTTTTCTAGACAATAGATAATGAAAGTTTGAACTAGTGATAGCAGTGGGAATGAAAAAGAAAAAAACAGATGATTTATTTTAGAGTGGTTTGGGAGATAAACTAAATATTCTTGACTAGTCAAAGTAAAATCTTACTTGATTTGTTTCTTATTTTCCTTTAGAGTAATTCAATAATAATCTATTACATGAAATTGGAAGTCTTTCATGTATCTCCTATTAAACACAAGACATGATTATTGTAAACCTCACCCACGGTCAAACAATTATATTTACCCCATTTTTCTACTTTAGGATCTAGTACCTCATCAAAATCAAATAATCTACAGCAACATTTTAAGGAATCATAGAAAGAAAACAAAAAGTCCCAAGGAACTCTATTTACCATTTTTAAAAGCAAACCATACACTCAAACTTATAAGAATCTTCTGGAGTCCTGTGTCAGAGAAACATTTGCTAAAATTGCATCAATGAACTTTATTTCAATAATTGGTTTCCCAAACATAGTTTAAATGCTAAAGATAACTAATATAAAGCAGAAGGCATTTTGATTACTGAAACAAACATCTGATTCAAACGGAGTATTTTGAAGCAATGCCTCTTCTGTTAATATCCAGGATTTCAGTGTATTTCTTCTCTACAGAAATGTGTTTAAAAAAACAAAAACCTTTTTGGAATTAGATAGCACATATATAAATTTATAAATAAAATGAAATCCTTCCATTTTTAAAAATTTCAGATGATTAGTATTTATAGAAACAGAACAAAAAGTTATTAAGAAGCATAGTATAAATTTTGTTTGATACCTAACTTAAAAGTATAGATAGCTAGCTTAAAAAAAATTCTCTAGATTTATATCTTACATTTAAGTGTATCACCTTGGGTATTAAATATGCTGCTAGCTATCTCTTAATGAGTGCCAGAGCTGTCATTTTTAATAAGACCAACAATTATTATCTGTAAGTTGATATTTCCCTGAAAACCATCTGTATAATACTTAATATTGTTAAGAATAGAAACTGACTATTCCATTTATAAAAAGAACTACTATTTTATAATACGTGGCATAATAGTATTGGAAATAACATATACATATTTACAATAAAAAAATCAATATATGCCAAAATGCATAGACATTCTCAATATACAGCAGAACTTTACACAAAATCTAAATAATGAATCTCAGTCACTTATTGTTTAAAAAGGTCATTTGGTCCATTGAAGCCATAATGGAAAACATAAATAAACAAATAAACCAAATATTTAGGCCACTCTAATCTTAATTTCCCAATTCAAAATAAGACATGAAAGATGAATACCATAAAAACTCAAATTACATAATTCATTTAAGTATATACACCATTAATATAGAATGCAGGCTATTGTAATTCATAGGTTACAGTATTCTAGAAATCTTACATTATTTTCAAATACTAAAAATTAAAAAAGAAATACCTCTTCCACAAAGCTGTCTTTCTTCTCTAGCATTTCTCGTAATGTCTGAAGAATTTTAATGCACAATTTTTCTTCTTTCTCCATTAGTTTCTTTGTGTGATTAATCAACCTTAAAGCAAAACATTAAACCTTAAAAAAGAACAGTGATTTCTCTTCAAGCTATATATGAACATCATTTGAGAATATGAAGTAAACCAGATGTATGTTTTTGAAACATAAAATTATATTTCAGTTTATAAATTTCCTATTAAAAACATCCTTTTCATTTTATAGGTAGTATATCTCAGGACTTTTTAAACTTACTCAGGTAGCATTCTTTTAGTGGGACACAATACTCTTTGAAAAACAGTGAAACACTGATATTCTCAATCACATCATATGAACTAAAATACCTTTACTAGCAGAAAAATATGAAAATCTGTAGTATACAATATTTTATTATGTTATGTTATACTATATTATTTTGTACGTATTGTACTACATTAATTATACAGTAGTAGGGGCAGTACACAACATTGCAATCTTAGCAAAATAGGCTGCTTTTCCAGTTTCCATTAGTAATAATGTGCTGTTATTCACCGCTAAGGTTTGGTAGAAACAGGCAGTTTCTGTGAGTAGAAGCAAAAAAAAAAAAAAAAAGGAACATCAGGACAGTCTATTCATTTACTATTTTTGCTGTAATATGGGCAAAAACTCAAATCAATTTTATGGTAGTGAACCATGCACTGGTATTTTGTTGGAGAAGAGTTTCAGGATCACAGATGTACACCATCCCCAAGAACTTGAAATCAAGTAAAATGTTCATAATCAGAATTTATAACTTAGCATATGTAGCTCATATTGTTAAAAAGCTGGTCCTCAAAATGACACTGTGAGATATGTCTTCCTAGAGAAACAAAATGATGTAAAGTAAAAGGAAATGATCTGATTTCAGTGACATAACATGAGTCCTGTGGGACATAACCCTGAGAAGAAGTGAGCTTTCACTAGGTAACGGCTAGCAAATGCTCATCAAGTGTCAAGGTCAAGTATAAGAACGTCCCAATTCATCCTCACAAGCCAGTGTGACAGGGTCTATGTTCAGACTAATTTTGGTAATGAGAAAACAGAAGCCTAGAGAGAAAAAGCAACTTGCCTCTGGTTACCTAATTGTTAAGTGGTGGGACCTGGTCCATCTGACTTCGGAACCAAAATTCTTAAGCACCACTCTGTGGTGACATGATGCAGTTCACTGCTCTCTTGAGTCTCACGGTTGCTGTGGAGAGTCTCAACACACACCAGGTTGCTCACAGGCAAGAGATGAACAACGCATGTGGTGGGGTAAGGATATAAGAAGCGAGGCAGAAGTATCATAGATAAGACTCGGTAAGTAATATCATATGGGAAGTGGAAGAGGAAGAAGGGCAGATCCTAGAGCCCTGAAGTGTATGAATTGGGTTAATGCTCATATATGGATGGTGATACTTTTAAATGACACCTATTGCATGCTGAAGGGGTAGTACACAGGGAAGCTAACCATGATTTCCTTTTAGATAAACTGAGTCTGCACAAGGTGATACATATCCATGCGGTCAGCTCCAGCAAGCAGAGTAACTGTTCAAATGTTCTTCACAAGAAAAGTGAAGCCTATCTCTCTAAAACTTCTACTATCTGGTCCTTTCTTTTACATGATAGCCTTTGCATACATGAAAACAGTTTCGGTGAATATTGTAAATTTCTTTTTACTTATTTTTTTCTTTCTCAATTTCCATTTTCTTTAAATCTTCCTTAGATAAAATATTTAATTCACTAACCATATTGAAAATATTAACCATCAAGTTGAATGACCCCTTGCTGTGGATTTATAAAAGATATTCATATATCACATAATGTTTGGTTGGGTTAGACCAGTGACTTTCATTTTTTCTATGATCAAAGTAAGAAATACATTTCACAGAACAACCCAGTACATAAATACGTGTGTGTGTGTGTGTGTGTGTATAAACTGACACAAAAGCTATCCTTACTAGTTGAGATGCCCTCTGATATTTTATATTCTTTTCTAATTCATTTTTAAAATTAGCTGGTTGCCTCTATTTAAGTCAATTTAAAAATTACAAATGGATAACATCTCACAGTTTGAAAAACACTGAGATTCTCTTTCATAAGGGAGGAGTAGGTGCTGATTTGAATGGACCTAACCAGCTGCCTTAACACCTGTACTGACCTATTCGCCTCTCTCTCTCACTCTATATGACTAAGTAGCTCTGTGAATTGAAGTTCTTTCCTTCCATCTACCCTTCACATCCTCCTGAAGATCCTTCTGAGTTAATAGGTCCAAGAATTAGATTTATTTGAAGTAGGAAGTCTCACATAGGCCTTAGCCCTAGATATATTCTCCAACTAAGGTTTACCCAAGTGCTATGCACAGTAATACAAGGCCCCTTGCATAGCTACTAATAAAATTGGACTCTGATTTTGTCAGATATCCTTGCAAATGAAACCCTTGGCTCTTCAGAACTGGGGCAAGGGTAGGGTAAGTACTAGAGTAGAAAACAGACATTCCTGAGCCTTTGGGCAGAATACAAGTAGCATAAAAATCCCTTCTCTAACCACAAAAGTAAACACAACAACGTTTTCCTCCATCTCAGTGTAAGATATTTAATATATTCCCATTACCACATCACTTCTGCTTCTCTCCTTTTACTTTACCTAATGGTCCCACAGACTTGCCTCCATCTTCAGCACAGGTCAATATTTACTCCTTAATTACCTTATATCACTTTCTCATAGACCTATATCTTTAAGTTCTAGACCACTGTTGTCTGACAGAACTCTCTGCAATAATACAAATGATCTATATCTGTGCTGCCAAATTTGGTAGTTATTAGCCACACATGACTATTGAGCACTTGAAATGTGGCATATGTGATTGAGGAAGTGAAGTTCTATTTTATTTTATTTTAATTAACTTAAATTTTAATTTCAACAGCCATGTGTAGCTACTATATTGGCACCCTAGTTCTTGATGAGGAGTCAGTAAACTTTTTCTCTAAAGGATCAAATAGTTAATATTTTAGACTTTGCAGGCCATACAGTCTTTGTGGCAACTAGCTGATTCTGCCATAATGCATGAAAGCAGCAGCCATGGACAATACATAAATGAATGAGTGTGGCTGTATTTCAATAAAACTTTCTTTACAAAACTGAGTAGCAGGACCAGTTTAGCCTGAGGGCCAGAGGTTGCCAACCCCTGTTCCAGGCTATCACGTCTCTGGGATATATCTATAGTATCATATTAATTTACTGCAGTTAAAATTCTCAGGTTTAATTACTGTCTACTTTTTAACTCATATTCTATACATTGACATATATTCATAGAAGGTGAAGGGAACTTTTCAAAGACCCTATTTTTATAATGAATAACCAGGCAATACCTCTACTTAAAATTTTCTTTATAATGTTCTCAGCAGTCACCAATTTTGCAGACATTCTAGGCCTCTTCACTTAAAAATCCTTATTAGAAGACTAGTAAGTATCCAAATACACTCTTTCCAGTCCCCCTAAGATATAGTGTATGTCTACAGCCAACAATCCTTGATTCTGGCCAGAATATAGAAACTCCACCTACTCTTCAACATGATCCCTATAGTCTGGTTATTCTCATCCCATACCTTGTTTTCTCCCCCAAAGTCCCAGCTTTAACTGGTAAAAGAAAGGAACACACTTCTCATGTCCCCTAGTCTTTCAATTTCTCTCTCAGTACACTACAGTCAATGGTGGAGTTTTCCAGACCTCTTTGAGCAATACCCTCAACCACACAGGAATTAGCTGGGATGGATTATGTCAAGGGGCTTGGCAGCATCATTAAAACGACTCTCCATCCAGATACTCTTCCCAGGAAGACCAAACACCCTCTGACTGGCTATCTTGAGTCTACGTGTGATTACTTGCAAATCACCCAATGAAAAGTGCTCTCCACATAAAGACATGTCTCTTCTTTCTGGAGGTAGTTCCACATTTTCTCACAACTGCTTGTACTTGCAGATCTTCCTTGAGAATTTTTCACTTACCATTAAGATGAAAATACTTTATGGTAAACATTATCAGCTATAATAGATCTGACAATTCCACCAACATGATGAGAAAAATAAGTAAATGAAAGAGCTGCAGATGAGGTTCATTAAGACAGCATGGCCATGTGCTTTCTGAAATGAGCCTGACCTCCCCATCTCTCAGGGTGTTTGTGCAGTTAGATAAAATAATAGGTAAACACACAGGACAACAGCACACATAGGACAACAGCATACACAGTAGGACCTCAGTGTCAGCCCCATCCCTTTCTCTCTAGGCTAATGAAAATTAGTGACTCTCAAGAATAATCTGCTAAAAGATCACATCACCATATAGTTATAGAAAGGAACAAGAACCAAAATATTATTTGTGTGATATTTTGTACCCAACAATAACATACTTCATTTTCAGTAAATTTTAGTAAAATATGATAACCCTCACCAAAATAAAATTTCAAATGACTGGGGCCGGCCCGGTGGCGCACTGCTACAGTGTGCCGCTTGGGAAGCGCGGTGGCGCTCCCGCCGAGGGTTCGGATCCCACATACAGACCGGTTCCCGCTCACTGGCTGAGCGAGGCGCGGGAGCAACGCTGAGGGCTGCGATCCCGTTGCTGGTCCCGGTCCGGTACGGGGGCGACACTGAGGGTTGCGATCCGTTGCCGGACACGGAAAAAGACAAAAAAAAAAAAAAAAAATTTCAAATGACTAATTACTTGGGATGTATGTGGACCTTAAACCTTTCACATACTTTATGGACCATCATTAAGTATTAGCAGAATAAAAAGTAGAAATGTCATGGGCCATCTCAGTTTGGTGACACCAGCGGAATCTCACATTGCATCCACTTACTTGGACATGAAAGCACCACATCTTATCCTTGCATCACTTCCCTCGGGGAACAGCAGCTCTGGACTGTACAGTACATCGACCAACACTGAGAATTCTGCCTGCATCATCGGGCTGAACTGTTGCTCCAAGGAGGTCACCACATCCTAAGAAGTAAAGCACAAGAGAACCCACGTGAAGACCTCAGTCAGTCAGACTTCACCTTTCCAAGATATGACAAGCCTAAGAATAGGAACCAGGAGCGAGACATGAGCCATGGGAATCTCAGAGAAGATGTACCCTATCTTCCCATAGCACCAAATGTCTGTAAGTATACAGTAGTCTGGTTTTATGTATGAATACTGCCTGGTATCAGTTTTTTCATTTATAAGATAAGAGGGGTGGGTAGCTATAAGGTTTGTAAGGATATACAGACAAGAGGAAAGGTCAGGAAAGCCACTGTACAGGCCCTGCAGAATCTAGTCTAGGACTGTAATGGAGACATGACAGATATTCACCAAATTGGAATAAATTGGGGGCATACTAGAGGTAAAGATGAAAAAAGATTTCATATGTGTCATTGGTCATCCAGAGCTAACCATTTTTTCCAATGGGGATAATACGCTGATACAGTATTTGAAGTAGGGTAGTACTATACAGGGGTTCAATGACATTCAATAGTATCTCAAATTATATTTTCGAAAGACCCTACTGGTCACCTACCAAACAGCTTCTTTTCACCTTCTTCCTTGTTGACAGAATCCCAGTGTTGTTTCTGAGTCAGGCAGCAACATTCTCATGGAGATGAGCCCCCTCAGCTTAGGGTCCAGATGGATTAGTGTAAACCAGTCATGGTTATTCCATTTCTGCCCCTAGCGATTGGTCAAGGCAGGATTATGTGACACAGTCCCAGCCAATGAGACATCACGGGGTCTGTGTTGGGGGCAGGGAGGTTCTTTCAAAACCACCTACTGCTCAAGGCAGCCTGAGGGTGCAAATCCAAAATCCAAGGCAGCCCTCATGTGACCCTGGGAGACCTGCCTTAAGCTGAAAGCCAACAGACCTTCACTTTAGGACCTAAGAAGCTGCTGAATTAACCTACTCAGGGAGAGCCACAATGCCAGGTTACTTGCTACGTGAAACCATATAGTCCTTACTGTTGAAGATACTTTTAGCTGAATATTGTGTTCATCACTGCTGAAAGCATCTTAACTGATGTGTTTCTAAAATGAACTGTAGGCAATGATAATTTCCTGAACATCCTTTAATGGATAAAGCATCCCCTTTGTTTTTAAACTATGTTCAAAGACAAAAAAGAAAAAATCTCCTCACATAAAGCAACAATTTATTCACTCATAGCTACGGCATATTTTGATAAGCAAAAATCTGCCAGCAAAAATTGCTTTTTGTTACTTGTCAGCTACCGAGCACAGAAGGGGATACCACCCTCTTTGATTTCTTACCACTAGATTTCAATAGTTAACTCGTCTTTAACCTTCTTTCCCTTTCAGCAAAAGTTATCATTTCTACTCTAAACAAGTTTTCTGAGAAATTTCTGATAACAGTTAAGAGACTACCAGGATGGAAATTACGTAAAGGAGAAAACGAGATATTATATAAAGGTGGGAAAAGATAAATACATAGAACAGCCTCTAACACATACTGGCCACTTACTCCTTAATAAATGTTAGTAATCATTAATATTGAGCACCAATTAGCTGCAATCATCACCCTGTTGCCAAACTCAGTGGTCACTTTTCTGTCCTCCTCTTACTCAACCACTGCTAAGCAGTTTACGCACTGGTTCTGCTCTTTGCAACATGTTCTGCTCTTGGCTTCTGTGACATCACACTTTATTTTCCACCTATGTCCTGACCATTCCTTCACCATTTCCTGGGAGCTCCTGGTCTTTATCTCTTCTATATCTATACTTTCTCCGAGAACTCTCATCCGATTCCACGGTTTTAATATCATGCACATGCTGAAGCTTTCCACATTTATATTCCCAGCATGGACATCTTCCCAAACCACTCCAGGTTCATATTTCCAACTGCCTAGTTGACACACCCACTTAGGTATCTAAATAGGCATCTCAAATTCAATTTTCCCCAAATAGAACTCCTAAATCAAACTCTTCCCCCAACCTCTTTCTCTCCCTTTATTTCCTATCTGAGCAAATGATTTCATTGTATCAAGCCCAGAATCATCCTTAATCCTCTTTCCATCACCCCACAATGCATCCATCTGTCCACAAAGCCCTGTTGGCCTTACAACCAAATATATACAAAATTTATCCATTTCTCTTCATTACTATTGTTTCCTCCTTAAGCCAAGCCACTATCCATCGCCTTTTGCCTGAACTAATTAAAGCTGCCTAACTAGATTCACTGCTTCCATCTCTGGACCCTATAATCCACTCAAAATCCACAGTGATTTTTTTTAAAGGTAAACCAGATCATACCTATCCTCTGCTGGAAAATTCCAATGATATGCCATTACACTTAGAATAAAATCCAAATGCTTTACCATACACCTTAGTCCATTTGGGCTGCAATAACAAAATACTATAAACTGGGTAACTTATAAACAACAGACATGATTTCTCATGGTTCTGGAGGCTGAGAAGTCCAAGGTCAAGGCACCAGCAAATTCAGTGTCCAGTGAGGGCCCACTTCCTGGTTCACAGATGGTTCCTTCCTGCTGTGTCCTCACCTGGTAGAAGGGCTGAATGGGCTCCTTTGGGCCTCTTTTTTAAGGGCACTAATCCCATGAGGGCATAGCCCTCATGTCATAATCTCCTCCCAAAAGACCCACCTCCTAATACCATCACTTTGGGGGTTAGTATTTCAATATATGAATTTGGGAGGGACACACATTCAGACCAAAGCACCATGTAGGTTTCTACATGATTTGGCTCCTTATCTCATAATACTTTCCTCCTTTAGTCACTAAACTCCTGCCCCAATGGGCTTCTCTTGGTTCCTCAAACACACCAACTTCATTCTTGCCTAAGCACCTTTGCATTTACTGTTCCTTCCCCATAAAATTCTCTGTCCACAAATCTTTGAATAGATTATTCCTCTTCGTTACTCAGGTCTCAACTCAAATATCACCTTGATAGAGAGAAACTCCCTCACTACGGGATTGCTCTACCAGTAATTCTCCACTGTGTTTTTACCCTGCCCTATCTTGTCTATATCAGCTTTAATTATCTAACATCATAATAGTTATTTAATGAGTTTAAAAATATGTCCCATGAAAGCACAGACCATGGCTCTACCTCCAGCACTTAACACAGTGGCTAGTACAGAGTTTCCACTAAATAATTATTTATTTAATGAATGCCAATCACTGTGCTAAAAGAAGTTTAAGGCATATCCTCTGTATACTGGTTGAAACTACCTTCTTTTTCTCCTCTGAAATGTTCTACTCCCTTGGCTCTCATGAACCAGACTCCCCTGCTTTTGGACCCTGCCTCTTTTTTCTCTTTTTTTGGCCATTCTGCTACTCTTACCCTCTCACAAGGTGTTCTTTTTTCTCCCCACATCACTATAGTCTCTCTTTTAGCAATACCAACCAATATCCTTGCTTCAACTATTATCTCTGAATTTAGATTTAAATTCCAATATATTCAGTAGCCTGTTAACCTAATTCAGCATATTTTAATGACCATAGCCATTACCCTACTGTGTCTTCTCCTCATTTCTTTCCTCCTACACCAAGGAGTCTTAATAACATCACCTAATCTCCAATTATCACAGCCTCTTAAACTCCTCTCTCTACCTCCATCCAAGAGCCTCCAGGTCTGCTGATCCTGCCTTCATTACGTCTACAACACCTGTTGCTTTATTTCCTTCATACCACCACCTGGTTGAGATCTTAAGTAACTTCTAACTAATCTGCCTTCCTCTAGTCTCTTCCCAATACTGCTATTCCGCAAACCAGTAACTGCTTAATCACTTATAAGGATATTTTCCCCAAAATTTTCAATGACTCATAACCTTCCAGTTTCTCATACTATCTGAATCTAACTTGTCTTTTTAATTACATCTAACATTCATCTACATGTGACCTCTCATAATATTTATTCCAGTTCATGTCTTGACCATTCTCCAAGCCAAACAGTTTCCTCAAATCACACCCCAATTCACTCTATGAAATCATCTACTAATTATGTGGATAGGAAGATGCCTGTCATAGGCTGAACTGTGTCTCCTCCTCTCCAAATTCATATGTTAAAGTCCAAACTGACAATATCTCAGAATGTGACTCTGTTTGGAGATGGGGCCTTTAAAAATGCAATTAAGATAAAATGAGTTCATATGGGTGGGCCCTAATCCAATATGACTATTGTCCTTGTAAGAAGAGGAGATTAGGACACAGACATATGCATGCACAGAGAAGAGAGCATGTGTGGACACAGTGAGAAGTCAGCCATCTGAAAACCAAGGAGAGAGGACTCAGAAGAAACTAAACTTACTGACACCTTTATCTTGGACTAATAGCCTCCAAAACTGTGAGAAAATGAATTTCTGTTGTTTAAGCCACCCAATCTGTGGTATTTTGTTTGGCACCCCTAGCAAACTAATACAATGTCTCTCTTCACTCAATGCAGCAGAAGGGCCAGGCCAAAAGCATGAGTAAGATACTATGCAAGTAACTTGGGAGTAAAGTTGCCTGGATCATTCTGACCGAAGGATTATAAGAGAATACTGAGAGGTAAATTAAAGCAAGATTATGAATATTTAATTTGTTACATAAATATTCATGGTAAATTATTTTACCAATTTTATTATTGGTATTATGATTATTATTTTGTTACTAAGACCCACTAATCTCTACCATACCATCAAAACACATTTAATAATATACACTCATTAAAAAATAACTCATCACTTTTACTTGGACGCCATGCATTTTAAAAAGGTAGTGGTGGTAGAGAGTTGTAAAATAAAGCCCGATCCCCAACTAAAATTCAATATTTTCAATTGTATTTTATTTGTGTGACAACATATTTTTTAAATTGTGATTTAGAAAGTATGAATGCCATTTTACGCTCTGATTGTACCTGTAACTTTTCAATAATATTTCTGTAATCCCAAGCAGGCCCTCCAAGAGCTTCCTTAAAGCGTGGTCCAGAGCGAGCTGATAATCTCCAACCCATGGCTGCTCTCTGCACCATATTTGAATGGCTCTTCATGAAAAGAGTATTGACTTGGCTGTCCAAATCCACTGGAATGGCAATTCCACGATTTTTTGCTGAAAGATAAAGATTTAAAATATTTCCCTCTTAATTTGACTAAAGCTTCTTATACATTATCCAAACAACCCTGTAAACACAGAATAAAAAAGGAAAAAGTATCAAATCTTTAAGCTCTGCCAATAAATTGTTTTACATAACTTCAAAAGCTTTTAACCTGAAAGTATTTCAATTCTTAAGGCCAATTAGTAGAGTGGATTCATTAAACATTCAAGAACTTATTTGGTTTCTTGATGATTACTGTTTGAAAGGCACTTCATACAGCACCAATGCAGAAAAACGCTGTATACCAACCATGCCAATTTGTCCTTTCTCAGATGCCAAAGAAAATAAGAAAGCAGACAAAAAACACTTGATAAGATCCTACCAATCCATTCATTAATTTAATTAGTGTGTGTGAGTGCATGCACATATGCACACACATGCACTCACAAAATACACGTGATAAAACATTTGAGAGTAGAAATAAAAAGTTGAAGTGGAAGATGGCACATAGTACATGTTCTTCTTTCCAAGATCCACTGACATTTCTATTTTAACAGGCTTTTATCACAATAGTACTGAAAATTGAGAATGCTCGTCACAAGGAAAACAAAAGTGTTGAAGTGAATTTGTAAGACAGAATGAGGATGGGATTAGTCCATCAGAGGGAAGAGAAGAAACTGTCCCACAAGGGATTGGAGTTGGAAGAAGTCTTCCCAGGTCTTCCCAAGTCAATCAATACACAGTGTGAGATGGGGCATGGAGGAGTCCTATGGGCAATTCATTAAAAAATAACATCTGAGGGCCGACCCTGTGGCGCACTCGGGAGAGCACAGCGGCGCTCCCGCCACAGGTTCGGATCCTGTGTAGGGATGGCCGGTGCGCTCACTGGCTGAGCACGGTGTGGGCGACACCAAGCCAAGGGTTGCGATCCCCTTACCGGTCACAATAAGGACAAAAAATAAAATAAAATAACATCTGAATAGCTGGGAAGTTAAGGCTTACCTCCCTCTGACAAGCATAAACACAGCAGTTGGCAGCAAAGTTTTTACCCAGAGGACAAAGTTAGAAAAATGTAGAAATATTCTCTCAAGAAAGTAGAATACCTGACTGGTAGGAATGCTAAATGAAGGCATGAAGACTTGACAGAGAAGCAGAACAGAGCTTGATGTAACTCCAAAGATCATGAAAAAACGGGTGGAATGGACAGAGAAGAGGCAGCTCAGCAGAGAAAGAAAATATATTAAAGACTCCATACGCCAAACAAATCACCCCTTATTAACACTTGCTGGTATTCTGGCCTGTCTTCTGCTACACACACGCACATATGCACACACACACACCCTAAAGGAAAGTCTGTATGTCATTTGTTTAGCCCCTCACATAGAACTCCGGGTCAGCCCTGTCATTTATATGAGAATCTAGCAGAGAAACTGACCCTGAAAACTGCAGTGCAATCCCATGCCAGTCATTACAGACCTTCATAATTAGGGGCACACCCCCAAGGATCACAAGGAAAACCAACAGCATGAAGAATAACTGATCATTCTGAAAACAGAGATGATTCAAGAAAAAATAAAAAATATGTAAATAATTCTAATTATTGTCCTCAGATCATTTGAGTATATACTCCATCTAAAAAATTAGAAAATCAGAATAAAAGACTTCTTGGAAGTTAAAATATGATTGCACAAGTAAACACTTCAAAAATTGGCTGAAAAAGAAAAGGGTAGGAACGAAGCTGGTGATCTGGAAAAAGAAGTCAAGAAATCTTTTAGATCATAAAGCACAAAAGATCAAAGGGGAAAATGAAACAGAGAGATTACAAAATAGGGAGGGTCAATCCAGGAAGTTAAAATCTAACACATATAAGTCCCAAAAAGAAATAACAGACTCAGTGGAAGGAAAGAAATAATAAAGAAAATAATAGAAGACAATTTCCTCAAGCTGAAGACAGTCTCCAAATTGTATGTTAAAGAGGATCAAATAAGTATATTGGCCATATTCTAGCAAAACTTTAGAATGTTGTTATGGGTTGAATTGTATCCCCCCAAAGTATATATGTTTAAGTCCTATCAATACCTGCAAATGTGACCTTATTTGGAAATAGGGTCTTTACAGATGTAATCAAGTTGAGTTGAGTTCACACGAAATTAGGGAAAGCCCTAATCCAATTGGACTAGTGTCCTTATGAGAAGAAGAGAAGAGACACAGAGATATATACACAGAGAAAAACACCATGTGAACATGGAGGCAGAGAATGAATTTACGCAGCTGCAAGCCAAGGAATGCCAAGGATTGTTGACAAACACCAAAAGCTAAGAGAAAGACACAGCACAGATTTTTCCCTGGAACCTTCAGAGAGAGCATGGTGCTGTAGACACCCTGATTTCAGACTTCTGGCCTCCAGAATTGTGAGACAGTAGATTTCTATTGTTTTAAGCTACTCTGTTGTAATAATTTGTTATGGCTATTAAAAGAAACTAATACAAATGTCAACAGTAAGGAGGAAATCTCAAGAACTTCCAGAGAGAGAGAAAAGAAGATTTCTAAAATGAATCTGAGTGGTATCAGACTTATCAGCATTGAATGCTAGAATACAATAGAATAATAACTTTAAAGATTAGATGAACAAAAGTTTTGAAACTAGGAGTTTATATCCACCTAAACTGAAAATCAAATATGATTCCCAAATTAAAACATTCCAGATATGTAAAGTCTCAGAAATTTTTCTCTGAGCATCCTATGAAAAAATTACCCCAAAAAAGTGACAAAGAAATCCAAGAAAATGTCGGCATGAATATAAGAACAATGGCAACTGAGTATGAACTTGAAGAAGAGAATAAAGCTAGAAACAAATGAACAAAGATTTATTAGATATTAGTGGTTGGGAAAAGTGTTGACATCATAGCACTACATTTTTGTCTCAAATGGTTATACAGTGAAAAATATTTACACATCATAATTTATAAGCTCTGATAATTCATTTTAATGTTTATCAACCTGTCACAGAAGATTTAATTGTATTTCAAAATAGAATACAAATATCACCAGTCATAACAGTGGAAAACCAATAATATATCAAGCAATAATTAGAACACAGAGTGGGAGAGAAGAGGCAAAAACAAAGAAAATATGTTAATTTCCCTGTTTTTCACAGTGTGGAGCATAAAGACATTATTTAGAGCTGTTAAATCAAGAAACAGAGATGCAAGGATCATATTTAAAGTAATAATGGTAGTTACCAGAAGACTTATTTTAAATGAATGAAAATAGGATAAAAGGAATAAAAAGAAATTGGAGAGAGGGAGAGAGAGACAGAATGTTAATTTTTCCAATCCATAAACATGGAATGTCTTTCCACCTTTTGGTGTCCTCTCTAATTACTTTCAGCAAGTCTTTTGTAGTTCTCATTATAGAGATTTTTCATTTCCTTGGTTAAATTTATTCCTGGGCATTTTATTCTTTTGGTAGCTGTTATAAATGGGCTTGCTTTCTTGATTTCTTTTTCTGCTTGTTCATTGTTGGCATATAAGAACACTACTGATTTTTGTGTATTGATTTTATATCCTGCAACTTGACTGAATTCATTTATCAGCTGTAGGAGTTTTTTGGTAGAAGTTATAAGTTTTTCTATATATAGGATCATGATATCTGTAAACAGGGACGGTTTGACTTCATCTTTCCAATTTGGATGCCCTTTATTTCTTTCTCTTGCCTCCTTGCTCTGGCTAATACTTCCAATACTATGTTGAATAGGAGTGGTGAGACTGGGTATCCTTGTCTTGTTCCTGTTCAGCTTTTCTCCATTCATGATGATGTTGGTGGTGGGTTTATCACACATGGCTTTTATTGGGTTGAATACTTTCCTTCTATACCTAATTTGTTGAGAGTTTTGATCATGAAGGGATGCTGAATTTTGCAAATGCCTTTTCTGCATCTATTGAGATAATTATACAGTTTTTGTCCTTGATTTTGTTGATGTGGTGTACCACATTTATTGATTTGCATATGTTGAATCATGCTTGCATCCTGGGAAAAATCCCACTTGATGATGGTGTATAATCTTGTATTATGTGATGTATTCTGTTTACCAACATTTTGTTGAGAATTTTTGCATCTAAGTTCATCAAGGATATTGGCCTGTAGTTTTCTATTTTTGTTTTGTCTTTCTCTGATTTTGGTATCAGGGTGATGCTGACCTCATAGAATGAGTTTGGGAAAATGGCATCTGTTTCAACTCTTTGGAATAGTTTGAAAAGGATTGGTATTAATTCTTCTTTAAAGGTTTGAAATGATCAATAGATCCAATACAATCCCCATCAAAATATGAATGATATTCTTCACAGAAATAGAAAAAACAATCCTAACATTCATATGGAACAACAAAAGATCCTAAATAATCAAAGCAATCCTGAGCATAAAAATAACAATAATAAACTAAAGCCATTATGCTACCTGACAAGGACACCGAGGACATACACTGGGGAAAGGACAGCCTCTTCAATAAATGGTGCTGGGAAAACTGGATATCCATGTGTGGAGGAATGAAACTAGACCGATACATCTTGGCATATACCAAAATCAACTCAAAATGGATTGAAGACTTAAATATAAGACATGAAACTATAAAGCTCCCAGAAGAAAACATAGGGGAAACATAAGAAAGTAGAACTGGGCAAAGAATTTATGAATAAGACCCCAAAAGCAAAGGCAACACAAGGAAAAAAAATAAATGGGATTATATCAAACTAAAAAGCTTCAGCACAGCAAAAGAAACAACCAACATAGTGAAATGACAACCTACAGAATGGGAGAAAATATTTTCAAATACATCTGACAAGAGATTAATATTCAGAATATACAAGAAACTCAGACAGCTTAGTGAAAAAACAAGTAACCCAATTTAAAAAATGTGCAAAAGAGCAGAATAGGCATTTCTTAAAGGAAGACATACAAATGGCCAACAGGTACATGAAAAAATGCTCAGCATCACTTATCATCAGGGAAATGCAAA